TGCACAGTCATCAAAGAGTCAGTTACTAGGCCCATTTTGTCTTACCTGGTTACCTTATTCCTTAACCCAACCACTTCAGATTTATGTTCTGTCCCCCTGTAGTTTTTTTGTGAATTTTGTTACACACAGATGCCTTCACATGTGCTGATCCAGCAAGGAGTCTATCAGTAGGCCCTAGTGTCCAATCCTGATTTCTCCATTCTTTGAATTGGCAGGAATAACACATCAATAGTGTTATTGTTACTGATGTTATGATTATTAAATTGTTATTAAAATCTCAATAATATTTAAGACAATGAAATAATGCAAAAGACCCTTTCCAAAAGTCGAGGAAAAGGGTAAACAGGGAGATAGGTAGGACTAATAACTGACTCCTTGGGGACTAAGCACTTGTAGAGCCATCTACAAGTTTGTTTATTGTAAATACAATAAATAAACTTGTATTACATTGGACATGGCATGTATTCTTGCCATATGTGCCAATTAGGTTAAATTTCCGTTAATAATATTACAACAATGATTACTAAAACTAGTAATAACAATAATTGTGTTGAGAGAGAGAGAGAGAGAGAGAGAGAGAGAGAGAGAGAGAGAGAGAGAGAGAGAGAGAGAGAGAGAGAGAGAGAGAGAGAGAGAGAGAGAGAGAGAGAGAGAGAGAGAGGGAAAGAGAGAGGGAAAGAGAGAGAAAGAGAGAGAGAAAGAGAGAGAGAAAGAGAGAGAAAAGAGAGAGAAAAGAGAAAGAAAAGAGAGAGAAAAGAGAGAGAAAAGAGAGAGAGAGAGAGAGAGAGAGAGAGAGAGAGAGAGAGAGAGAGAGAGAGAGAGAGAGAGAGAGAGAGAGAGAGAGAGAGAGAGAGAAAGGGGGAGAGAAGAGAAAAAAGAGAAGCAAAGAGAAAGGAAGAAAAAAATATGAAATGGAATAAACAGGTGAGGTTAAAATAGGCCTAATAACTGATTCCTTGGTGAATAATTTCTTGTAAAGCTATCTATGTGTAAACTAAGCTGATAAAACAAAACCTACAATGAATAATGTAAATGGCACCAACTGGTTAAAAATAATCACATAGTATGAGTTTTTAATCTACACCAGTATTCTAGTCCTAAACAGTCACATACAAATCAAATCAAGATCCTAAAACTGAACCCAAAGAAAGCAAATATAAATGACAATGGAGAAACTGTTTTGCCATTATTCTGCTGGTTCATTCTTTATTCAGCATATACCAATAACAGTATTTATTGCATGTAAGGAGAAAAACATATATTGCACATAGGGTAATCATAACACACTAACAGGCATACTAACAGCATTTACTTGGGTGCAGGGAATCATAATACAAACACCCCTCTTACTTACTAAGTTTGAAAGCTGGTGTGCTTTTGGGAAGCCATGTGGATTTGCTTCTGGTTTCCAATCCTCAAGACTCACATTAGGGGGTACAACTCTCTCCACAATGCGACCCAAAACTGCAACTCTCTCCTCTCTTGATGCTGCAGAGAAAAAAAAACCCAGGGAAATACAGATAAGTTAAAATATCTATAACCTTTTTCAAATCCAAGATACGGAGAGAGAGGGAGAGGAGAGGGAGAGGAAAGGAAGGGAGAGAGGGTAGGAAGGAAGGAAAGAAGAAAAGGAAGAAAGAGGGAGGGAAATAAATAAATAAAGAAAAAGAGAAAGAGAGAGACAGAGAGAGAAAGAGAAAGAGAGAAAGAAAAAGAATGAGAGAAAAAAAGAGAAGGATAGAGAGAGAAAGACAGAAAGAGAAAGAGAGAAGGAAAAAGAATGAGAGAAAGAAAAAGAGAAGGATAGAGAGAGAAAAAAGAAAGAAAGAGTGAAAGAGAAAGAGAAAGAGAAAGAGAGAAGTACATGGCAAAAGTATAAAAATAATCAACTGAAAATTTGGTCTCCTAGACAATATTATTCATAGCCTACCTGCTTCCTTCAGGACAGTGTTGTCAACTATTCCCTCCCTTTTCTTCTTGTTGGCACGCTCCCTTGCAAACTTGGACTGTGGTTTTTGTGATTCTTGAAAGAAAAATAGGGAAAATGGCATTGGATATTAGTAGGACTTAGATGCAGCTGCTGTACAATATAAAAGAGATTATGAAGAGTGATAACAAATCTGTATGTGTAAATTGATTTGACACACATTCATTAGCATACACCCATGCATGGACAGGCGTGCACACACACACACGGACACACAGACACACACACACACACTCTCCCACTCTCCCACTCTCTCTCTCCCTCTCAAGATTAAAAATCTACATCATCATTATAATAATAAAAACAATAAGAAATAAAACCTAAATAAAATCTCTTCAAACATTTAATAAACAAAGAACACACTTGCTTTTACAGACAACTGAACACTCCATACCTGTCTTTTTCTCATCCTCCTCATCAGTTTTTCTTTTATTGACGGATACTACTGTAGCTGCAGGACGGGAGTTTGCTCGTGCTAAAAATTCTTCTTCTTGGCGCAGGAGGTCCTCGTCTGTTTCTCCCCTTTTGGGACGCTGGATCATCTTGCCTTCTTAGATCTGTAAGATAATACTAGACACGTCAGACTTCTATACCGGCAACTGTTGTATAATTTGTAAGAGAGATTGTGAGGAAGCATAACATATCTATGAATATGTGTATATAAGAGTCCTCACATTTTCCTTTGTTCACCAACTCACTTATTTAAAAAAACACACAAACACACACACACACACATACTTTGAAAAATAATATTTAAAAGTGATTTAAACAAATCTAAATAGCTCTGATTTTCCAGTCATAATGCAATACCTGAGATCTTCTAATACGGAAAAAGATTGCAGAAAGTGCTGCTCATAGCCTAAGTCCATTCAGCACTCCTGATTATCAGCTCTATCTTGCCATGCAAACTGAGGTGAAGACAATGTTTGTCTGAGGGCATTGGGGGGTAGAGGCCCCATTACCCCTCCCCTAGAACAGCGCTCAGTCATAGCAATTTATATCGCTGAATAAATTTTGTGACATGGAGTTGGGACATAGTCTCTGGTGAGTGAATCTGTACTGTAAAGCATTACCCATACAACTTTAAGCCAATGGTCCCAAATGGCAAAAACATATGGTATGTACACTATTATATTAGCGTAGCAAATGTAAGCCTATTTACACAAATGGTTCACAAATACTTTCTTTGATTTATGGAAAGATTTTTTATCATTCAATTATTGTTATTGTTATTAGTATTTAATCAACATCATAATAATTATAATGTCACAAGAATAACAATAGTATCAATATCAATAACATTGGAAAAAACATTTTCCTGCAAATTCAAGGAATGGAGAAATCAGACCTGATGGTGGCCAACTACTTGCAGAGCCATCTGTGTGCAACAAAATTCACCAAAAACTACAATAAACAGTACACAAAACTGTTAGGGAAAATCTCATGGCAAAATACTTCAGTTTATCTTACATGTAATACAATTAAAAAAATACAAGGAATTAAGATGAATGAATGAATGGAAAAAAAAAAAAAAAAAAAAAAAAAAAAATCAGTGCAACATAGGCCTATGAGAAGTATCAACAAAAGGCTACTTTGACAATGGCATTACTTAAAAAAAATTGCCATGGCTTCTGCACCATCGGTACTCTAGCAAAGCCAAACAAACCTTTACAATGATACCTTAACCTGGTTCCTTACTTGCAGATAAATAGTCAGGGAAATCCACAAGTTCCATATTGCCAGACGATATAGGGTAGAGGTTTACCGAATTTTTACCATCGCTTGATGGTAAATTCGTAAACCTCTACCCTATATCGTCTGGCAATATGGAACTTGTGGATTTCCCTGACTATTTATCTGCAAGTAAGGAACCAGGTTAAGGTATCATTGTAAAGGTTTGTTTGGCTTTGCTAGAGTACCGATGGTGCAGAAGCCATGGCAATTTTTTTTAAGTAATGCCATTGTCAAAGTAGCCTTTTGTTGATACTTCTCATAGGCCTATGTTGCACTGATTTTTTTTTTTTTTTTTTTTTTTTTTTTTCCATTCATTCATTCATCTTAATTCCTTGTATTTTTTTTAATTGTATTACATGTAAGATAACCTGAAGTATTTTGCCATGAGATTTTTCCCTAACAGTTTTGTGTACTGTTTTATTGTAGTTTTTGGTGAATTTTGTTGCACACAGATGGCTCTGCAAGTAGTTGGCCACCATCAGGTCTGATTTCTCCATTCCTTGAATTTGCAGGAAAATGTTTTTTTCCAATGTTATTGATATTGATACTATTGTTATTCTTGTGACATTATAATTATTATGATGTTGATTAATACTAATAACAATAACAATAATTGAATGATAAAAAATCTTTCCATAAATCAAAGAAAGTATTGTGAACCATTTGTGTAAATAGGCTTACATTTGCTACGCTAATATAATAGTGTACATACCATATGTTTTTGCCATTTGGGACCATTGGCTTAAAGTTGTATGGGTAATGCTTTACAGTACAGATTCACTCACCAGAGGACTATGTCCCAACTCCATGTCACAAAATTTATTCAGCGATATAAATTGCTATGACTGAGCGCTGTTCTAGGGGAGGGTAATGGGGCCTCTACCCCCCAATGCCCTCAGACAAACATTGTCTTCACCTCAGTTTGCATGGCAAGATAGAGCTGATAATCAGGAGTGCTGAATGGACTTAGGCTATGAGCAAGCACTTTCTGCAATCTTTTTCCGTATTAGAAGATCTCAGGTATTGCATTATGACTGGAAAATCAGAGCTATTTAGATTTGTTTAAATCACTTTTAAATATTATTTTTCAAAGTATGTGTGTGTGTGTGTGTGTTTGTGTGTTTTTTTAAATAAGTGAGTTGGTGAACAAAGGAAAATGTGAGGACTCTTATATACACATATTCATAGATATGTTATGCTTCCTCACAATCTCTCTTACAAATTATACAACAGTTGCCGGTATAGAAGTCTGACGTGTCTAGTATTATCTTACAGATCTAAGAAGGCAAGATGATCCAGCGTCCCAAAAGGGGAGAAACAGACGAGGACCTCCTGCGCCAAGAAGAAGAATTTTTAGCACGAGCAAACTCCCGTCCTGCAGCTACAGTAGTATCCGTCAATAAAAGAAAAACTGATGAGGAGGATGAGAAAAAGACAGGTATGGAGTGTTCAGTTGTCTGTAAAAGCAAGTGTGTTCTTTGTTTATTAAATGTTTGAAGAGATTTTATTTAGGTTTTATTTCTTATTGTTTTTATTATTATAATGATGATGTAGATTTTTAATCTTGAGAGGGAGAGAGAGAGTGGGAGAGTGGGAGAGTGTGTGTGTGTGTGTCTGTGTGTCCGTGTGTGTGTGTGCACGCCTGTCCATGCATGGGTGTATGCTAATGAATGTGTGTCAAATCAATTTACACATACAGATTTGTTATCACTCTTCATAATCTCTTTTATATTGTACAGCAGCTGCATCTAAGTCCTACTAATATCCAATGCCATTTTCCCTATTTTTCTTTCAAGAATCACAAAAACCACAGTCCAAGTTTGCAAGGGAGCGTGCCAACAAGAAGAAAAGGGAGGGAATAGTTGACAACACTGTCCTGAAGGAAGCAGGTAGGCTATGAATAATATTGTCTAGGAGACCAAATTTTCAGTTGATTATTTTTATACTTTTGCCATGTACTTCTCTCTTTCTCTTTCTCTTTCTCTTTCACTCTTTCTTTCTTTTTTCTCTCTCTATCCTTCTCTTTTTCTTTCTCTCATTCTTTTTCCTTCTCTCTTTCTCTTTCTGTCTTTCTCTCTCTATCCTTCTCTTTTTTTCTCTCATTCTTTTTCTTTCTCTCTTTCTCTTTCTCTCTCTGTCTCTCTCTTTCTCTTTTTCTTTATTTATTTATTTCCCTCCCTCTTTCTTCCTTTTCTTCTTTCCTTCCTTCCTACCCTCTCTCCCTTCCTTTCCTCTCCCTCTCCTCTCCCTCTCTCTCCGTATCTTGGATTTGAAAAAGGTTATAGATATTTTAACTTATCTGTATTTCCCTGGGTTTTTTTTTTCTCTGCAGCATCAAGAGAGGAGAGAGTTGCAGTTTTGGGTCGCATTGTGGAGAGAGTTGTACCCCCTAATGTGAGTCTTGAGGATTGGAAACCAGAAGCAAATCCACATGGCTTCCCAAAAGCACACCAGCTTTCAAACTTAGTAAGTAAGAGGGGTGTTTGTATTATGATTCCCTGCACCCAAGTAAATGCTGTTAGTATGCCTGTTAGTGTGTTATGATTACCCTATGTGCAATATATGTTTTTCTCCTTACATGCAATAAATACTGTTATTGGTATATGCTGAATAAAGAATGAACCAGCAGAATAATGGCAAAACAGTTTCTCCATTGTCATTTATATTTGCTTTCTTTGGGTTCAGTTTTAGGATCTTGATTTGATTTGTATGTGACTGTTTAGGACTAGAATACTGGTGTAGATTAAAAACTCATACTATGTGATTATTTTTAACCAGTTGGTGCCATTTACATTATTCATTGTAGGTTTTGTTTTATCAGCTTAGTTTACACATAGATAGCTTTACAAGAAATTATTCACCAAGGAATCAGTTATTAGGCCTATTTTAACCTCACCTGTTTATTCCATTTCATATTTTTTTCTTCCTTTCTCTTTGCTTCTCTTTTTTCTCTTCTCTCCCCCTTTCTCTCTCTCTCTCTCTCTCTCTCTCTCTCTCTCTCTCTCTCTCTCTCTCTCTCTCTCTCTCTCTCTCTCTCTCTCTCTCTCTCTTTTCTCTCTCTTTTCTCTCTCTTTTCTTTCTCTTTTCTCTCTCTTTTCTCTCACTCTCTCTCTCTCTTTCTCTCTCTCTTTCTCTCTCTTTCCCTCTCTCTTTCCCTCTCTCTCTCTCTCTCTCTCTCTCTCTCTCTCTCTCTCTCTCTCTCTCTCTCTCTCTCTCTCTCTCTCTCTCTCTCTCTCTCTCTCTCTCTCTCTCTCTCTCAACACAATTATTGTTATTACTAGTTTTAGTAATCATTGTTGTAATATTATTAACGGAAATTTAACCTAATTGGCACATATGGCAAGAATACATGCCATGTCCAATGTAATACAAGTTTATTTATTGTATTTACAATAAACAAACTTGTAGATGGCTCTACAAGTGCTTAGTCCCCAAGGAGTCAGTTATTAGTCCTACCTATCTCCCTGTTTACCCTTTTCCTCGACTTTTGGAAAGGGTCTTTTGCATTATTTCATTGTCTTAAATATTATTGAGATTTTAATAACAATTTAATAATCATAACATCAGTAACAATAACACTATTGATGTGTTATTCCTGCCAATTCAAAGAATGGAGAAATCAGGATTGGACACTAGGGCCTACTGATAGACTCCTTGCTGGATCAGCACATGTGAAGGCATCTGTGTGTAACAAAATTCACAAAAAAACTACAGGGGGACAGAACATAAATCTGAAGTGGTTGGGTTAAGGAATAAGGTAACCAGGTAAGACAAAATGGGCCTAGTAACTGACTCTTTGATGACTGTGCATTTCTGGAGCCATCTATATATAAACAAAGTCATTGATATTCAATCAGAGTACAAAGAGCATATAGGCATGTTCTCCAGGTGTCAGTGGATTAATGAACACCTTCTAAAATCAGATCATACCATTTATATTCCTTCTCTTTGTAGAAACATGGAGCCCCTTCTTCAGACACTAATCTCCTCACTGGATCCAGAAAGAAGTCCCTCTACATGCAGGAATTGCAGGAAAAAGGTGCCATAAAGAAACAAGGCAATCAGGAGGCAGCAGCAACCCTTTCAGCTAGACCTGTAGTTCCATCTTCAGATGTGAAGGATCCAAGAATTTCTGCTTTGGGTAAGGTCATCAGGATGTAGTTTTTCCTTTTTGCTGTTTTTTTTTTTTCTTTTTATTTATTTATTTGAGCTTTTAACCCCTTGCCGCCGGGTGACGGCGATACGCGTGTAAACAAATCGCTCGAAAGGTGGCGTGCGGCCAAACCAGCCGGCAGCGCGCCAAAGCGCGGCGAGCCAGTGATTCGGGCTGACGCCCCGTACTCCGGCGCTCAAAGTCGGCGCGCCGCCTTTGTTTGCCAGAGCGTAGAGTTTTATTTTCCTTTTGTACACCCGGCGTCATTGGGTTAAGGTGAAAGAAGTAGCTATTTTATTAATCAAACGTAGAACTTTAACAAGTAAGAATTTAAAAGGTCTGTTTTTTCTTTTTTTCTTTCTTTCTAACAGGACAACAAAGTTACATCATTCAAGGAGATGTGTCAGAAGCACAGAAGATTCACAATGAAAACATCAGCAAAATTGCAAGCATGTCACATGATGAGCGCCTAAAGGCTCAGCAAGAACTCATGGCCAGCTTAGGTCCTAAAGAGCTTAACTTCTTACAGTCACTGAGAATGAAAAAGGAAATGTTAAAGTGCCAGCAAACAGAAGATGAACTCATGGACTGTGAAGCTTCAGAAAAGGAGGATCAAAGCCACTTGCACCTCCCACGCCTCCAAGTAGTGCAGACAAGGGAGAGGAATTACGGAAAGTGAGGTTTTCGGAGGATGTGGAGATGGAGACAAAGGGGACGTCACCAAGTACAGGTCCTGATGATTCCAATGTCAGTGAGAATGAGCTTCCCATTCCCCCATCTGAGGCTAAGAAGTGGGTCCACATGGATAAGGTTAGTGAATGTATGTGCTGTAATATCTAAAGATCTTTCACAGATTTTTGTGAATGGAGCTCAAAAGGACAAAAATTTAATCAATATATGTGACAGGATACCTAAACAGTGTACAAATGTCTTACTTATTGAAGTGCATAGAGTTCCTTTCAACTCCTTTCTCTCTGATTTATGTGAACACTGAGCAGAGGTACAAGAACACATTATTAAGATGTATGAAAATTATGAACAGGATACTTTGTAGCAGTTGTTATTGGTATGATGAAGATGGCCATATGATAATGAGAATTTATCAAGAGTAATAACCATCATTTGATTATAATAATGATGGTTAGGAAACTAATAGTAATGGTTAAATTAGCTCCTTTCAAGTAAGGGATTATTGTGTCATACATCTGCTATGGCTGGAGTAGTATTTTGATACCTACTTATGGTAATTTAATAGGAATAAAAATCATAAAGTAATTGCAAGTTCTCTTTATCAAGTACATTAAACTTTAAGGATTTTACATATTTTTTATTAGCTTATTTAGTTTTCAACTTTTTACTTTTCTTATATTTTCCCCTTGTTTATTATCCTTTTGTTGTTCTTCCTTTTATTTTAGGGATGCACCTCCTCCTCATAACTTATTTACAAAATTATTATTTTATTATAAGGAAGAAATTGAATATTTTCAAATTTACTGTAGTGGGCAGTCTCTTAAGAATTAGTCCCCACTTATTTCATTTCTTGCAGGTGGATTTAGAGAAGCTCAAGTGGATGACAGATATGCCTAAGCCAAAGCCCCTAAAGAATAATGAAGGATTTGTTGCAAGATTCAACTTTGAAGGCGATATCTTGCCTTATGACGCAGATGTTTCGTACCGTGAAGCATTGCACCATCATGGAGAAGAGCCAGGTTGGGAAAATGTTTAATTTTTTAAAGTGCCATAGTCAGATACATCCATATTAAGCTTTATTTGGAACCAGCATATTATTTGACTTTATTCTAAGGCCAAATAGTAATTTGACTATTTTGTGGGAAAAAGGGCTGACATTGCCAACCACACCGAAAATCGACTGCAACACTCAAAGAACGACTGTTTTATTATGAACTATTTTGAAACATGATCATACAGTTGAGCACCATCCCTATGAAAGGATTCTGAGCTTACCTGGGTTTGATGTTACTTTTTATCAGTGTGATGATAATTTCTATGTATTTGCACATTCATATATCTTCAAATACACTTTGTAGTGAATTTGAATGAGATAACCTTTTAGATATAATTAAGTATACATTGTGTTATATTTCTAAACTGAAGTGCAAGAATGATTATCCTTTGGATGACATTTTTGCACTTTATGTAGAACAAATTCCTGTGTACAAGTAGAACCGCAGGTGAATGGCATACACACAAGGAACATTCTATTCAATTATATTAGTTATAATTGGTAACATATGCTAAAGGTTTATGATGTGTATATATAGTTTGTTATAGATGATTTTTTCATTTGCTTTTTCATCATACACACCATTATAAATTTCATAACTTTGAAATAGGTAGTGCCAAGACTGGCTCATTTTTCTTTCTTTCTTGTTTTTTATCATAAAAGGGATCAAGAAATTTAATAAAGCTATTCACTGAATATCATTTCCCTTTTTTCAGGGCGTGCTGGATACACCCTTGATGAGCTCTTCATACTTATCCGCTCTAAAGTGTTGCAGCAACGACACATAGGCCTCCGCACCCTGGCCAATATACTGAGGAATGCAAAAGAAGGCTTATATGATACAGCTGTGAATCCCCCTATTATACAATTAGTGGTGAGTTCCTCTCCTGGTAGCTTTGTAGATTTTATTGTTGTCCTCATGACAGTGTCAACCCAATGCCAACAGGTGATTTCCCAATACACAAGCCCTCTCTCTTGGGTTGTGGCCCAGACTCCACTGGCGGGGGCTCGTGTCATCACCCTAGCATGCGTGGCATGACCCTACATGCCCCCAGAAAAAGGGATTGATGCACCATGGCATGTGTACACATGCCATCTAGAATATAGTCCAGGCATGCCATGGCATGTATGTATATGCCACCCGGCAGCTAAGGTTTAAGAAATTTTATTTGTATGGAAATTGGCATTCTTTACATTAAAAATATTAGAACAGAAATTCAGATATTGTCAATGTACCTTTTTGAATCTGACAAGAAATTATTGTTATTTTGCCAAAGTTGCTTAAATTATTGGAAGTAGGAAGTTGTACAACATTGTAAAATCTTAGTATTGTTGTGTGGTGCAGTGGCTGTATGGTGGTGTACTCGTCTAGCAATCTTGCTGACCCACAATCAAATCCCACGCCACCAGTGGATGGTAACCCCAGCCATTCTTTGCACACAGGGTAATTTAGAAGCAAAGCAAACAAACAGCCTGTTACACCAAGAATATCCATTGTAACAAATGGAATTAAAACCCAAGTCATTACTAATTATAATCATTATTAATTATTACTTCTCATAACACTTCAGGTAGAGGCTGGCGTAGTACTCCTCCTTCGCTTCGCCCTCGATGAATCTTCACACCACGTGTATGGGGAAGCTGTGCGGGGCCTCTATTACCTCATAGCCAGTGAACCGGACGAGCGGTGTTTGGCCATGGTCCAACCTTGGGCTCCTGCTGGCCTTGAACCAGGGGTGTCTAGTAATATCCATGCGAGTGAGAAGGTGAGAGAGAAAGAGAGAGAAACTCTTTTGTTATTGTTTGTATATTTGCTGTAGATATTTTTCTTCTAGATTTGATTTTAATGTCATTTTTAAACCAGAATTATATGTAATCGGCTTTAGAACTTTTCTCATTTGTGGTGAATATTCTAGATGAAAAAGAATAACAATATTCATACATAAAATAAGTGATAAAGGTGATGATTGGTATAAGATTCACTTTTTTATATATAGACAGTGAAAAGTAACTTTGTCTGTATTGTTTGAATTTTTAGTCTCGTAAAGAACTGGATGAAGAAGAAAAGGAACTAAAGGACATTGAGGTGATTAAACTTGACATTATCCGTGCTCTTATCAGAATGGACACCCACATCAGACTCAGGTATGTTTTTTTTTTCTTCTTCTTTCTTTCTTTCTTTCTTTCTTTCTTTCTCTCTTTCTTTTTCTTCTTTTCTTTTCTTTCTCTCTCTCTTTCATTTCTTTCTTTCTCTCTTTCTTTCTTTCCTTTTTTCTTTTTTTTTCTTTTCTTTCTTTCTTTTTCTTTTTTTTTTTTTTTTTTTTCTTTTTTCATTTTCATATTTACTTTCTTTTTCTCTTAATTTGTTGTTGTTTTTCTTTGTGTCTCACTAAAATACTGGTATGCACTATTTACAAGTAATGAAACTGCTTCCAAAACATACATGGTATAGTTAATGTTGTTATCTTATATATCAGATGTTTGTTTTATTTACAAAAAAGTGGATATTTATGGATAAGAGAAAACTTAGTGTCACTGCCATTATATAGGGTTTTACTATGAAGTAATTTGGACTTTTACTATTCCACAAGGCAAGGAGTTCCTATAATTCCTGAGCTTTACTTATGCTTAGTGTAAGTTGTACAAGACTAGAAATGTAAAACCCAGATACTGAAGAAAAAAAAAAAAAAAACTAACAGAATTCATCCATTTATTCAGGTACATCCTGGAGACTGTTAAGCCAAATCCAGACACCGTAATCTACACACTAGGCATCATGACTCGCATTGTCCGCCACTCACTCACAGCTGCATGGAAGGTGGTCCAAACTCCCCGCCTTCTGTCAGTAATACTGGAAAATTTCCTCCCACACAACTTGTCTCCATTGCTCACTGGTGAAAATGTCTCTTCAATGTCTTCTGTGTATGGGGTCCCTCTCAAGCAGGCTCTTCATCTTTTAAGGGTAAAGGCTGATTTTCAACATTCATCTCAAAATATTAATTTATGTTTAGTAAAATGCCGTTACTTTTCTATGAGTTTTTCTTTGGCATGTCTTTTTATAATGTCATTGTTTGCAGACTGGTAAATTTTATCCAAATCAATTTTCTAACTGAATTTTATACATATTATAGGTCTTAGCAGCAAGAGGTCGTCAGCTGGCAGCAGTTCTGGTCAATACTCATGATGTGATGGGACGGATCCTCACCTATGTATCCTTGGAGCCCAGTGAGGTGGCCATACCCCTCCAAGAGGCCCTTTCCCTCAGTCAAGAAGCATATGCCATGTGGGCCACTCTCCTGGCATATGGACTGTCTAAAGCAGAGGAAGCCATTGCTAACTTCTATCCACTCATTGTGAAACAGTTAGTGTTCTATAGAGATAAAGTTCCCATCAATGAAGAGACTGAGAAGAATAAATTCAACTATGATGTTGGTGCACAACTGATCAATAGTCTGACCCGTGCTTTGAACGTGGCTGCCTCACAGACTTTGCTCAGTAGTAGAATGAAGCTGAACCAGGGGACAGTCATAGGTGCCAGTGGAAAGGCAGAAGTTTTGCCTCCTCCATCTCTTTCCTGGGATGACCTCAGTGATATCCCACAGCTGATAGAGACATGCCTGAAGAAGTGGCTGGTTCAACTTGAACGAACTGGTCAAACAAGTTTCTCAGCACTCCGTCTGTTGGGCAGTTGCTGCAGTTTCTTAGAAGCCTACTATCTGAAGTGGAAAGATCAGAGTTCGTACAGTGGAGAGAAATGTAATCAAAAGCTTCAGAAATTGCATGATGAAGTTATTCTCCCCTTCCTAAATTCTACTTGTTTTAGCAATTTAGTGAGCAGCCCTCCCTAAACATTCATCTCTTATCTGTGATTATCAGGTTGGTACAAAACGGGACCCAGTCAACCTTGGTTCTCTTGGTTGTGTGACACATGGAGGAAAAATTGTACCTGTTGTACAGATTACATCCCCATTTCCTTTACTTCTTCCATTATCATCTCTTTTAGTTATCTTTCATTCCCTTCATCCATTCCTTGATGCACAAGGAACCAAATTCTTGGATTTGCCTGAACTTTCCTCATATTTCCAAAAGGTATGTTGTTCTCATCAGCAGTTATCAGAACATTGGCTAACAAGAGTGGAGGTTCATATGATTTCCAATCTTTTACATTTAGCAGCTTTAAAAGGTTGCACTGAAACCAGTATATTTCATGAAACAGCAATGTGCATCATGGCCTGCATTCAGAAAGGTGATGAACACCTAATAGAAAAATTGTTGAGCAATGTAATCTGTTCTCCAGAATTTACATCTGATTTATGTGAGATGAGCTCACAGGTTGATAATTTAGCACTGAATGATTATGAGCCTCTTATCTCCCCAGCAAAGGTTCAGCCAGTTTTGTCACCAAGGCAGTTGACAGAAAGAATATTCAATTCTTTAGTTTCCATTTGCAGTGAACTAGTAGGTTCCTTGGCCAGTAAAAGAGAATATGAGGCAAGCAAGGTTTTGAGAAACGGCATTCATTTTGCAACCAATGGCATCACAATAGATCAGACAGAGACACCATTGGCTCTTGGCAAATGTTGGCCACTTGAACCAATCAAATATGTATACAAGACTTCCAGGACACAACCTCCAAAAACTGATGACCTTCCTAAGAAATTCTCAAGTGACCAGTCATCCCCAGAGGACATTTTAACCGTCACAAGGTGCTTGCAGATGGCATACCTTGGCATCAAGTACCGAAGAAAGAGTATCTTGCAATCCACAGACATCAGTTCATGGTTGCAGCATCTCTCATTAGTGTTCCTTGTAGCCAGTGATATTTTCCTTGATGCAGATGTAGGTTCCTATCTCCAAGGTACAGTAATAGAATTACTACGCAATGGAGGATATGCTGAGCTTGACCCAAAGCTTACTATTGAAGGTTTTAATTCAAGCATTAGTTGGTATAAAGAACTTCTTGAGCAGTTTCTTGCAGTATCATATGGTGACTCCACTTTTGCCCTCTTTCTCCTTATCCCCATTCAACAGTATTGGCCCATTGAATATCGTAAGGAACTCTGGGGTGACATGTCTGATGCACTGACCTTCTTCCGTCTCACTCCACGGCAAGTTGAACAGTTCATTCCAATGAAGCAGTTCCTTGAGCCAAGAGAAGATGATGAAGGTCTCATTATCAAATACAGGTCAAACCTTGGTAGTGCTAATGTTACTGAAGCAAGAAATTCATTTCTATTCACTATTGCATCTCATCATATCAGGTCCCACATAAAGAAAAGACAAACCTAATGTCAGCAACTAGTAAATGTCAGATTACTTTTTTCCTCATTGAAATTAGTAAGACTGTATCTCATTGGTAACTTATATTTTTCTATTATGTAATTTCAAGTTTGTCCATAATTTGTAATTTAGAGATGGTGCAGTAAATGAATATGGATATTATACTGTATTATTTTCATTCTAAGGGAATGCACATAAAACTATGAAGTACTAAATAATTTAAAACCTTCTTTATGTGAACACTGTATGTACTTCATTTCCTGCAGTGTGAGGGGTAGCATACATTTTACTGTTGTGACCAAACTATTCACTCTGCAATTTTTTATATCCTGAATACTCAGATGCCACATCATTTTGAAAAAAAAGTAAAATATGTGTGTGATGTTTCCATACCTCATATTAATTTGCTATTACCATGGTAACTACTAGGCATATTGTCTTGAAAAAATATGCCAAGAAGCATGTGATGGAATGTCAAGTGAAAACCACTTGTAACAGATAGTGTGCCTTCACTAATTTCCCCCTCCTCCTCCTCTCCCTTATCACTCATATCACCATTGCTGTCATTCACTGACATAGACAGTGTGTCATTGTCTGATATTTCCAAATTAGTGTTATGAGGAATAAAACTACTTGCTACCAAAGTCTGCTGATGATATCAAGAGAGATATATCCTAGGCATCACATCTTGGAATAAAGTTAGTAAATAAATCCCCAAGGCAACAAGACACATTTTTACAGGTGTAATTATTGCTAGATGTCTTCAGAAATTATCATATAATATATGTGAAAATAATAACTAAACTAATGATTGATCATAATGAATAGGGAAAAGCCATCAGTGCCAGTGTTATGAAGCATCATATGAGGTTACATATTGTCAAAGCTTATATACTAGTGATACCATCACAAAATCCTCAGAAAAAGGATTACTGGCCTATCTCAAGGCCCATACTCTGCTATTTATTACTTGGTGTACGAGCACACGTTACTGACATTTCCAATGTGCACATGCTACTTTCATGTGATGTATGCTTGTATATCAAAACACATTTTTGGTAGGTATGGAGTTAATAATTACCAATCAAAATGTACATAATTTTGTCAACTAGAAACAGGTGTTCCAAATTTATAAAGTAATACCTGTATATACCAAATAAATTACTAATGTTATCTGATGAGAGGATCATATTTACAGATACTGAAAATAAAAAAATAAATAAATAGTCCCTTGGTTATATGAAAAAAGAAAGAAAAAAAAAAGTACATATGTGCATCCAAGATTTCCCATTTTCAGTAAACTGGTAGCATGGATTATTATACGAAAGACATTTCATTGCTTGCTTTAAAATATTTTGGTATTTTTTATAGAAAAAAGAGCAAGGAATGAATAAATCAATTTTCAAAAATAAAAACCCGATATCTCAAATAACCTAGTTATCATAAGGTACCCCATAAGCAATTCCAGAGCAGTTGCCCCACCAGGGTATGAAATACTATGGACATCAAAACATTACAAAATGCCATTACGTTAGAGAAAACCTGCATTGCAATTAATCCAAATATTCCCCTGACAGCAGTAATGAGTAAGTGATTAGCCACCAAGGAGTCAATTAGTGGACCTTGTGACCTTACCTGATTGCGCCTTTCCATGAGTTTTGAGGAAAAATTATTTTTACCAGTGTCATCAACAGCAATGCTGTTATTATTATAGACATTATAATTATTGTAATGTTACTTACATTACTAATAGCAATATACAATTAAAGGAAATATTTCCAAAATTCAAGGTAAAGGGTAAACAGATGGGATAAACTGTACTAGTAATTGGCTCATTGTACTTGTGGAACCATCTATGTGTAAAGACAATGAATAAAGTAAACTCAGTGGGTATGGCATATACTTACATGCCATCCCTGGCAGCAGTGGGTTAACAGTCCAGGAACATTCTAAGTAGTTCATTATTCCATGTACTCCTACACAGATTTTATTAAGTTGAATAATAAAATCACATTGGTTAGGTGATCACAAACTCATGTCAAGTGTACCTGCATTCTTATAACATTTCAAATCCTAGCACTGAGGTACTTGTGGATTGAGGCATACCAGTAGTCTTTAAATCTTCACAAATTGAATTTGATTTTATGTTTTCTTGCAACTTGAATTCCCATTTGATATGAGATTGGAAGTCAAGAAGTTTATGAAAATAAAAAGGAAATTTGGCATTAATTTTTATTTAAAATCATGGAATATACAAGATATGGCCTGACAAGTTTACTTTCATTTCCCTTACTTTTCATGAAAGATTTACAAAAAATTACACATTTTTTCTGTATGTAATGAATAGGAATGCAATGATGATGAAAACTATCATATGCTTATGACAATGTCCACACCATGAAAAAGAAAAGGAAAAGTACTTCTTCGTAATCAAATATACAACATAAAGATTCACTTACAAATAATAAAGCCACTTTCACTAACTTATTTCACCTTATGCTATGATATACTTAGAAGAAGGTAAGTAATTAAATCTGTTACATGACTTTCAGGTGCAATGGAGACAATCAACAGTAAATTAAAATACAACATTCAGAAATGGATTAGTCAAGGTAATTCTGGGACAAGGCAAATACATAGCCTTGTACATGCATCCATTTAACCAAATGCCATCATTACAACAAAATCTGTTCACTAATGGGAATGCAATGCTTTTGTTTCATGTACAAATTCAAATCATATGTTAACTAAATAACTCAGCCCTATAAAACTTTCCCAGCATCCAAACAATATGTTGCCATGGAGAAGTATATAGACTGTAATTAATAATATGTATCACCATTTACAGAAATTCTTGGTTTAAAATATTTTTAAAATTATGGTATAAGACAAATACATTAATGAACATCACAATTTTTCTTACACCGATAAAATAGATTTAGAAGACATAACAGTCCTATGACTAGGGTATACCCTTAGGAATAATGAAATAAAGGTAATCAGCCATTGCCCCCCACTTGCTGCGGTTCTGTTGGAAAATTATCACCCAAGATATTAATCCAACGAGCCATACAATGGCCCCGATACCAGAGACTATGACATCTGGAAAAAAAAGAAATGCTATGATTAATTTTATCATACTTTAGTATATTCTGAAAAAGTACAATAAACTTTACAAAAACACGCACACATGAACACACACATACGCATACACGCACACACGCACACATGCATGATATACATCATCCAAGATAATTCTGTAGTAATGAGAGAACATCATACTTACAGGTTCGAATCTGCTTCTGCTCAGGATAAGGTGTTGCCCAAAATGCCTCCTTCAGGAACCAAATGGCATTCACAGCCCACATAAAGGGCAAAAGCGCAAATCCAGCTGGCAAGAGAAAATCTAAATAATAAGGGTAAACATGATACAATTTTAGCATCAAAATTTGACATACATAATCTTCATATCCCAACAAACTCTGATAAAATTACTGATTTATCTATCTATATTACATCTCATATACATATATAATAGTAATGAGAATTTTCCTTCCTATTTATTATTCAATAAAGGAATCATTCTAACAGCTATCTTGTCAAATATACATAGGTGCAGGGTTGTTATATATACATTTAAACCAAAAATCTGTAAAAAAAAATCTAAATAGTTTTTGCATTGTGAGTTTTTCTACCACACACACACACACACACACACACACACACACACACACACACACACACACACACACACACACACACACACACACACACACACACACACACACACACAGATATATATATACATAAACATACATATATAAACATATCCACAAATATACATACATATACATATATACATATATATACATATTTATATCTACATATATTCATATATACATAAATATATACATATATATACATATACTTATACATATTCATACATATATACATATACATATACATATATACATAAACATATATATATAGAATAAATATATATACATATACATACATATATATGTATAAACATATACATATACATACATGTATATATATACATATGTATAAACATATATACATATACATACATGTATATATATACATATATATGTATAAACATATATACATATAAGCACGCGCACGCACGCACGCACGCACACACGCACACACACACACACACATATATAAATGAATGATAAAACACTCTACTGTGTTGATACTATGGTAGAAAAACCCACACAATGCACAAACTAGATTTATTGATAATTTTGTGTAAAACTGTTGCAAGTTTGATCATGGGCTGCTTACTGCATACATTGACCTCAAGAAGGCATTTGATAGTGCATTTCAACTAAATCCTGAAACTCAGGGGAATTTCAACAATAGCAAGCCTGTATATTGATGCAAGGATGATTGGACTAACAGCAAGCCTGTCTACCAATACTGAAAAGTGTGGTGAAGATCATGAGAAAAGAGTACATTTTGTACACTTACAAAAATGATAAAAAAATAGGGATAACCCCTTACTTTTTAACTTTTTTTATTATGGCAATTGGCAATTCATATCATCAGATTTATTCAACAGACAATATATAGTATAAGGTTGTGGCAGAGTTGGGTAATAAAACCTACATGAAGTATAAGGTAGCGGAAGAGATGGGTAATGAAACCTACATGAAATGATAGAACAATACAAACCAAGACAAAGTTCTTCTATGGTGATATGTGTGCAAATGCTTCCCAAGGGTGCTATACATGAGAGAAAAGAGAAGATCCACCAATTTTGGCCAAGTCGCTCATCTTGTTTACATTGCGAGGGTGAATTCTAGACGCATGTACTACCACATGGGGTCCAGGGGGCATAGCCCCCTTGCTAGGTATATATATTACTACAGGGGTCCAGGGGTAGAGCCCCCTGGCTAGGGAATATACACCACGGTGTTAGGTTAGGTTGGATGCTGGGTTAGGACATTTTGTTTAACCCAATGGTGACGAGTGAAGGAAAAAAAAAAAAAAAACTCTACGCTCTGGCAAATAAAGGAGGAGCCAACTTTGAGCGCGTGAGTTCGGTACATCAGCCCGAATCACTGGCTCACCGCGCTTTGGCACCGCCGCGGCGTACAGCCGAACGCCAGCTTTTGAGCGGTTTGTTTTCACGCCTATCGGCGTCACCCATCATACCCTCCCCTACTATCGGGACTATCAAATCAAGATTGTCGATGGAGATGGTGATTATATCTCCTCAACGATTCATTTGCACAAGGACAATGCCTAGAATCGTTGAAAACAGTGGATTTTCATTCAGAAAAAAAAATCAAAATCAATTTGAAAGTAACCCACTACCCTCTACTACATATTGACCAGGGGATCTCTCTTTTCTTTAACATATAGCACCCTTGGGAAGCATTTGCACACATATTCCCATAGAAGAACCTTGTCTTGGTTTGTATTGTTCTATCATTTCATGTAGGTTTTATACCCAACTCTGCCACTACCTTATACTACATATTGACCAAATCAGCTAATCAAACACTACAAACGTGTCCACCACCTCTGAAAGTCTATTGGCAATAGACACACACACAATTTACACCCTCCAAAGCCCCTAGCCAGGAAGCTCCACCCCTGGACCTGTGGCCTTCATACAATATATCCTAACTAATAATCCAACCTATCTAAACCCCACGAGACCTATACTATATGCTTTATATGGTGCCTAGAATTGAAAACTGAAAACAAACATTTCTCACAGGTGTTTATCAAGCATAAAATAGTATAAAAACTATCCCATTACAGAGTTTTGTGGCCCAAATTAGTGCTTATCCTCGCAATGTAAAAAAGGAAAGGAAAAAGCGGAGTCGATCTCGTCTCTTCTCAGTCACGTATCGCCTTTATTTCCTATTTGCGCTCGAAATGCCATAGATGAAAAGTGCCTCAGTGTTAAGCCTGAAATGCACTGAAAATTTGACCTCGTAATGAAAAGTGTCTCAATATTAAGCCTGAAATACACTGAAAATTTGACCTCGTAATGAAAAGTGTCTCAATTTTAAGCCTGAAATACACTGAAAATTTGACCTCGTATCTTCTTGGGTTAAGAAAATCTGTCACGTCAATTTTCCTTGATGCTTCTGGCAGGCACTCAAATAAAAACCCGATAGTAATCACAGGTTGTTACTTCTTCTTCTATGAAATCACCGAACAGGAAGCCTCTGCTTATAAATTAAATATATTTTATGGAGAGAAAAAAAAACATAATGGAAGGAGGAAGAAGAAAAAAGTGAAAACAAACCTCACACCTCAATGACTCACGATGAATTCCTCCTTCTATCGGCCCCAATAGTACATATTTCTGGCCAGATAACACACGGAGGAGCACTTACCCATAAAGTATTTCCTGCATATGGCCAATTTTCTCTCATTGGGAAGTCTTTCAACATTCATATTTACAGACAGAAGAGAGTCAGTCGCTTGGCTGTCGTCTTCACACCTCGGGTCTTCGTCCGGGTCGCGTTGTGGCGATTGGTTTGGCTTCTCTGTCATTTTATTTTATCGTCATTTATATTTGTTCAGTATAATTATCTTTTTGTTAGCATCTCTGTCAGTTTATTTTATCGTCATTTATATTTGTTCAGTATAATTATCTGCTTCTCTGTCATTTTATTTTATGGCTCTCGGTCCGGGTCGCGTTGTGGCGATTTGGTTGGCTTCTCTGTCAGTTTATCATATGTATTTATTTTTATTTTATCGTCATTTATATGCGTTCAGTATAATTATCTTTTTGTTAGCTTCTCTGTCATTTTATTTTATCGTCATTTATATTTGTTCAGTATAATTATCTTTTTGTTAGCTTCCCTGTCATTTTATTTTATCGTCATTATATTTGTTCAGTATAATTATCTGCTTCTCTGTCATTTTATTTTATCGTCACTTATATTTGTTCAGTATAATTATCTGCTTCTCTGTCATTTTATTTTATCATTATATATATCTATTTTTATGTTATGGTCACTTTATATTTTATTTATTTTTTTATTTTATCGTCACTTTATATTTTATTTATTTTTTTATTTTATCGTCATTTATATTTGTTCAGTATAATTATCTTTTTTTCTCTGTCATTTTATTTTATCGTCATTTATATTTGTTCAGTATAATTATCTGCTTCTCTGTCATGTTATTTTATCGTCACTTATATTTGTTCAGTATAATTATCTTTTTGTTAGCTTCTCTGTCATTTTATTTTATCGTCATTTATATTCGTTCAGTATAATCATCTGCTTCTTTGTCATTTGATTTTATCGTCACTTATATTTGTTCAGTATAATTATCTGCTTCTCTGTCATTTTATTTTATCGTCGTTTATATTTGTTCAGTATAATTACCTGCTTCTCTGTCATTTTATTTTATCATTATATATATTTATTTTTATTTTATCGTCACTTTTTATTTTAATTTTTTTTTATTTTATCGTCACTTATATTTGTTCAGTATAATTATCTTTTTTTTCTCTGTCATATTATTTTATCGTCATTTATATTTGTTCAGCATAATTATCTATTTTTTTCTCTGTCATTTTATTTTATCGTCATTTATATTTGTTCAGTATAATTATCTTATCTATTTTTTTCTCTGTCATTTTATTTTTATCGTCATTTATATTTGTTTCAGTATAATTATTTGCTCTTTCATTTTATTTTATCATTTATATTTGTTCAGTATAATTATCTTTTTGTTAGCTTCCCTGTCATTTTATTTTATCGTCATTATATTTGTTCAGTATAATTATCTGCTTCTCTGTCATTTTATTTTATCGTCACTTATATTTGTTCAGTATAATTATCTGCTTCTCTGTCATTTTATTTTATCATTATATATATTTATTTTTATTTTATCGTCACTTTATATTTTATTCATTTTTCATTTTATCGTCCCTTATATTTGTTCAGTATAATTCTCTCTTTTTTTTTTTTGCTTTCTGATTGGTAGTTTTGAAGTATCATATACATTTTCGTGCGATATTACTTTCTGCGATATTACTAAAATGTTTCTTCTCCTTCTTCTTTCTTCTTTTATAGGGTTTTAGACTATTGTCTAGTCTATATCCCCTGGATCTCTTTTCTTTCTTCTTTCTTCTTTCTTTTCTTTATATTATTTCTATTAGTTTCGTTTTCTTTAGGGATATTTTTGTGTGTCTTAAAATGTAGTCCTTCTTTATTGGTGGGAGATCAGCACCTGGGAGTAATAAGTCTATATTATTATTATTCTATTATTCATTTTGATTCTTTTTAAAGCTTCCATCAGGTCTGTTCTGTAAGAGTGAAATCTTGGACATTGTAGTATTATATGTTGTATTACTAAAATGTTTAAATCCAAAGGGAAATACGAGTAAATAGGAGGCGGTGCATCGAAACATGCAGCGAAATATTTAAGAAAAATAAAAACTGCTTAACACTTAACCTATCGACATAACATGAGCATAATTAGTACACGAAGGTTTAATATTGAATTTTTGACCTCATGAAATAAAAATAGAAATAAAAATGAAAAATAAGTCTATCAAACAAATGCCGTATATATCTTTGCTTATGATTTGTTCCCCTAAAATGGCACTTGTTTACTTCGCGTCCCGAACAACTCCTACAGCATCTCCCGGCGGACGTTTTTTAAAGAATTCTCTGCGGTTTCCGATTAACTTCCTACGAGGCCTATGTCAAGGGACAGTGCTGACAGCCATAAACAGTGGAACGGGATCAGTCACCCAGATATTGTCGAGAAATAACTCCAGCGCCATGAGTTCCAATAATCACTTCCAGAAAGTCAAGTTCGAGAAGCTCTCGCAGAATCGGAAGGAGAGGAGGAGGGATTACAGCTGCGGCGATAAATTCATCCAGCTGAAGAAGATCCCTTCCTGGCCTGCCTTCTACAAGGAGAACTCTTACAGCGTTTCTACAGCTGCACATCCACAGAGCCTAGTAGACAAGTTCAAGGATGAATGCAGGTATCAAGTGGACGCCGAGATCAACGAGAAGGTGTCAGTCTTCTATGGCGATATTACGAAACTGGAAATCGATGCCATTGTCAACGCGGCCAATAACAGCCTGCTCGGAGGTGGAGGGGTTGACGGTGCCATCCACAGGGCAGCAGGGCCATTCCTGTTGAATGAGTGCCAGACTCTCAACGGATGTGATACGGGCGATGCCAAGATCACCGGGGGATATGACCTTCCTGCGCGTTACGTCATCCACACTGTCGGGCCTATTGGGGAGAAGCCGTCCATGCTAGAACAGTGCTATCGGAGGTCCATGCAGGTCGCGCTGGAGAATAATATCAAAACCATCGCCTTTCCTTGCATTTCCACTGGGGTGTATGGTTACCCTAATGAAAAGGCTGTGCAGTTGGTCTTGCCCGTTGTGAGAACCATGCTGGAAGCCCACAAGGATAAGTTTGAACGCGTCATTTTCTGTCTTTTCTTAGATATTGACAAGAAACTGTATAATCGTTACTTGCCAATAATATACCCTTTAAACTAAGATCCTTAATAAATATTTGTTAATTCTTCCACAAAAGTTGTGTGATTACTTTTTTTTTCTAAGTTATTTGAATTTTACGTCTAATTTCGTAATGAGTGGAAGAAGAAAAGCTAAAATCATTTTTGAGTAATTACTTAATCTTGCTGCATAAACTTGATGTAGATTTCAATAAATTTGAATTTTTGTTTAAATTCCCAAAGTATTTTTAACCACATGTATTGTTAATATATATATATATATATATATATATATATATATATATATATATATATATATATATATATATATATATATATATATGTATAATCACACTTGCACAGTATATGTATAAATATAAATATTGCATATATATGAATATTTATATGTGCATACAGTTTATACATATATTATGCACATATTAAACTATTTGAGCACAATAATTAGCTTGCCAATTTTGGATGTAGAATACTGTTAGCTTTTTGGGGCGTCCTACTGATGCTTGTGTTACATATCAAAATAGTCTATTTACCAAAATGTAAATCAGTGCAGCTTAAACTGAACTGTATGAACATTTTCAGTAACAGAATTGAATATGATATTTTTTTTTTTTAAATATTATAAAGTTGCCATCAAAAACCTAAAATGAATTAATTTCTAATTATTTCATATTTTCTTGTGAAAGAAATGTTTCCACATAATTTGTCTATTTTATGATTTACGTTAAGAAATTGGGATGTGACTTATATTTTCATTATATATGTATATTTTTTACATGTGTCCATATTTTAAGGTTGCAGTTTACCATTAGTGTCCCTGCCATGCACAAATATCATGGATTTTGCATAATTAATGCTAAGGCAGAAATGTTACCTGATATTTAAAAAGTACTGATACCTTATACCTTTATTTTGTTAGAAATGCTTTGCCTTTTGTGTGGCTACAAGTTGCTCGAATAATAAGTTTAAATGATTAAATTTAAATAAGTATTAAATGTCTAGTTAGTACAGAAAGTGTATTTCGGATTATTTGGTTAAGCTTCCTTTTCTTTTCTTTTTTCTTTTTTCTCTTTTTTTTTGAGAGATGTATGGCAAAAGAATTTCTGTGTTTGGTATACATTCACCCATTCAAGGTTGTCTTATATACATATCTGAAAGACAATAAGAGAGATGCATGTAATAAGAAAAGAAAAACAATCTGTATTGTGAAAAAAAAATAATAATAAATTGATTTAGAAGAGATGAGTATTATATAAGTTATTATGAAACTACATAGAATTATTGTATTTTATAACATATCTTCTGTGGATTAAGGCAACTTCACTTACAGTGTGATAGCTAATGTTATATAGTCTGTTTTTCATTATTATTCATTTTTAAGGCAAAACATATCAGATAAGCATGTCAGCAGTAATGAAATTAATCCTCTAATTTATTTACCTGTCTAGATTTCACTGTGTTTATATATATGTGTGTGTGTGTGTGCTTTTGTGTGTGTGTGTGCGTGCGTGCGTGTGCGTGTGCATGTGCCATATATAGATAGAGATCTGGCTTGGAAAAAAGTTGGTAAATTAGTCTATACTTTTTATTATCTTTCATGTTTTGTTTTTCTCATGTTCATAATACCAACAATGTTTTTTTCATGCTCATATTACAAGCAGAGTGTTTTTTTGGGGATGTTCATAATTGCAGTTAATGTTAACATCAGAAAATACAAGAACAGAAGGCTTTATAGTTAATAAATATATATTGAGGTTATAATACTCTTCATAATAAGCAACATTTGGATTTCAAGACAGTATCATTCATGACTCTGACATAAATGATATATATGTATCTATAGGCTATAGATATGCTGGTATATAGCCATATATATACTGTATATGTGTTTTCTTAGAAATCATTATTTTGATATTGTGAATTGTTATTGGTTAATATGGAAGTTTAGGAAGTTATATATATGGAATGAAGTACAATTTCTGACCTGGAATTTGTTTTAATTTCTATCCTTAATGTGAATTGACTGACAAACATGTTGATGTATCTTTTTTTTTTACATAATGAGAAATGCCAACATATGGTGACTTTTAATTTGTATTACAAAGAAATTATTTATTACCTGCTATGAATACCACTTATAATTTATTCTTCTCTGTCCATTGTAGTTATTATAATTTTTATTATTATTATAGCTACTTCACTATTTCTTTTATTTTCTAAATTCTATCATTATTATTATTATAAACAGTATTATGAATTGTGGAAGAAAAAAAGGCACCACCATCCTTTATATCTGTAACATTTTCATACAGTATACATGGACAGATATTACATATATATATATATTATATATATAAATATAAATAAATATAAATATAATCTATTATATACTTATACATATATAAAACAAATAAAACATATATATATATATATATATAAATCAATATATAAATATAAATAGAATAAATATATATTAAAATATATATATATAAAATATATATATATATATATATATATATTTATAATTGTGTTTTTCTAAACAAAAAAAAATGTATGTATGTATAAACATATATATACATAAGATACATAATAAAACCATATAGCTTTTATATATAATATATAATATATATATAAATATAATATATATATATACATCTATATATATATTAATATATCAATATAATATATAAATATATAAATATATATATATATTCATTATATATACATAAGCTATAAATATAATATACATATATATACATAAGCATATATAAAAAAATATATAATATAAATATATAAAACATATAAATAATATCTGTAATACATCCATATACAAATACATATACATTTACATATATATATACATATACATACACATACACCCCCCCCCCCAATCCCTTGCCGTTGTTGTCGTGGGGGGGCTTAGGAGGCGGAGACTGGGACCCAATGATGGGAATTCCCCAACCTTGGGACTCAGCCCTCGACTCAACTAATTATGCATGGTCTTTTTTTTCCCTTCCCACTTTTGTTTCTGTCCCTTCACCAAACCCTTCTGCTATCCACCTCCTAAGGTGTGAGAGCCGTGCTGAAAGGATGAAAGGCTGACTTTGTGCCAGTCCTGAACGGCCTGAGGGAGCCATGGGCACGGTATTCCCCTGATTTAGTATCTAGCCCTTACCCCTCAAGGGGACCCTGAGGGGTGGACTGTTTTTATCCCCAACCTAACCAGGCTTACCATGGCCAATAATGAAAATATATCCCCACTGTAGGGGCAATGAGGCTTGCCCCTTTATCAAATAGCCTAAAGAAGTAAACCCGCCCGATTCCCTGACCCAGGCTCTCCTTTGACCACGGCTCCGAACACTGCAATAACTGCCCCTTCACCAATGCCTACTAGTACAGTAGCCAACAATCCACCCTCAAGGAACATTTCCACTCTCCAGCATGCCAACTTCAACACCTCTACCCCCACAACCTCCAACATCACCACACACATCCTCCCTAATAATACCTTACAGCCTTATAGTCCCACCCTCTCCATAACACTCACCTCCATCAACACTACTCCATCTCGGCACGCACATCTCCCTTCAACCACCCCTATCTCCCCTAAAACAATCTTGAAAACTCTCTCAGTACAGCAAATGGGACCGATTTTTCGTATCCCGTCCCACAGCTCCCTACTCTGACAACACCCATCTCTTCCAACAATGCCACCAAAAACAAGTAGGTAAAGTCTCTTCCGAGCCGACCTGACCGCTCCCGTCTAGTAACAGTAAACATCCGAAAACAAGCCATAGCATTAACAAAACAAACGTGACCTATATGGACCCCATCCTAGCAGAACCCCATCCAAGCCCTCAAAACTGCACCTGAACAGTCTCAATCACACCAACCAAAAGCCCAATCTAAGACAAAGATTGGTCAATTGGTGATAAATCTACAATGCCTGTTCTCACCACTATCGAGAGCAACATCATTACAAAGCAAAAACCACTCCCCCCAGAGGTCATCGAAAGAAACTCCCAAACCTCGTCCAAAATAACCTTCCGTAGACATGACCTTCCCTTTACCGACTACAATAGGAGGAAATCCCACCCTTTCGTCCAAAACCAACCTCCACCACTACAGTGCAACATTGTAGGCTTCTATACACCCAGCCAAACACTGCCGTTCCACAGCCCATAATGCCCATTATTGCCTAAGCCTGTCCATACCCTAACTAACTGCTCTGCACAATCACGCACATGTGCCAACTGTGGCGGCCCCCATAATGTATTTTATAGGGCTGTCCCACCTACCAATATTTGTATCAGGTACAACTCTCAGATACAAATCGTGACTCACACTGCGTGAAGCCAGCCAGAAGCACGTCGACGTGATTTCTCTCTTACTCCTTACTCCAGTAATACGCTCAATTCTAACCCTTCTCCTAACCCCACCCCTCCTACACTAACCCCCCCACTAACCCCACTACCTTCCCCAGTCAAACTCATTTGCAATCCTAAATCCAGAAACTCCCTATCTCTACTCCAGAACTCCAATCAGCCACTACAACCCCTACACTTCCCCTCTCCCTCCTCGCACTCCCCGTAACTGACAGAACAAACAGTTCCCCCCCCTCATACCCCTACCACACAATCACCCCCACCATCCTTTAGCCCCGTACTCTTAGACACCAGTCCTCTCTACCCCTCCCCCACAAGCAATCCTTTATCCCTATCCCCCCAAAACTCCCCAACCAACTCCACAAAAGAAACTATTGAAAATATCAAGATTACTTAATGTGAATCACTCAACCTCCAACTCCTGCTACTTCCACACTCCAAGTAATAGCTGATATCCATTCCTCCTCCATAACGATATCCCCCTCCTACACCCTACCTCAAACCCCTCGCTACGCCCACACCTACCACACCTAACCCAACCACCCTCCCCTCCTAACCACAAACCCAAACTAAACCCCCGTCCCAACACATCCTATCCCCACTGACCCCCAACCCTGGGTCCCACATAAACTCCCTCTCTCTCCCACCAACCGCCTGATATCCCTTCCACTCCCACCTGGAATACACACTGAATTCCCTTATGTCACAAGAATCCTCCAAATCCTCAGAAAAGACCCTCCACTCCTAATACCCCATCCTGAATAAACAAAACCAACTACACACTCCCCCATCCAGAAATAGAACAACCAACACACCCCCCAACCTCCCAACACCTCTCCCATCACAAAACCTCTCAGATCCTTAAATCCAAACCCTGCTAGC